TGGTCATTTGTAAATCATATTCAGAGAAATGTCTAACTTAGATCCCTTGCCTGTTTTTTCACTGATTTTTATTTTTATTGATTCTTAATGGTTTATTCCCAGGTTCTAGAGTTCCATATTTTCAGTTCTTACATTTATGTCACTGATCCATTTTGAGTTGACTTTTGTTTATGATGTGAGGAGGGGTGGGGAAGGTGCTGAACTTTATCCTTTTGCTGTGGTTATCTAATTGATCCACTGTCATTTGTTGAAAATACTTTTCTTTCCCCACTTAACTGTCTTCACACTCATTTCAAATACCAATTGACCATAAAGGATCATTTTTGGATTTCTGGTTTCATCCCACTATCTTTATATTAATTTGACTATCTTTATACTAATTCTAAATTCTCTTGATTAATGTAGCATGGTGCTAAGTTTTAAAATCAGGAAGTGTGACTACTTCAAGTTTGTTCTTTGTTCCACTGATTTCTAGCTTCCTTTCCTGTTGTTTAAAACTCTGATGACATTCTGTCTTCATTCTGTGTGCAACCTCTTTTTCTCTTTCAAATCTCTTAGGATCTTCTATTTTCCCCGACTATTCTGAAATTTCCTGATCATATGCCTTGGTAGAAGTCTATTTTCACCCTGGTTATGCTGAGTAGCTCTTTACTGGCGCTCTTACCCCAGGCATTTGCTTCATTGATTCCAGGAAATTTTAAGTGATTACATGACTTTTTCTTTTTTGACATTTATTTTTTGCACTTTATTTCTGGAAAAACTTTTATTAGCTTACCTTCATTTATCTTCTTATTGATTTTTATTAAATAATGGAACTGGACTGAGCCTAAAATATTGTTTCCTTTTTTCTCTTTATTTTCAACCTGTTCATTTTTACTCTACTTTCTCTAAGACTTCCTCAAATTTGCATTCTCCATTTTCTATTAATGATTCTGCTCTTAAAATTATGAATGTCAAAAAATATATTTTTTCTCTTTTCTATAACATCCTGTTATTTTACATACAGTTTTTTGTGTTTTGTTTGTTTGTTTTCATTTTTAAGAGGTATTGTCTTTGCTTGTCTGTTTTGGTCTTTTCTTATAGGCTAGAGATTTCGACCCATGACTATATACCTAGGCTTGAAGCTGAAGGACTAAAACCTCATTAGGAGCTCTATCAATATAGGCAAGGTTTTTGTACCAAACTATTTCATCAGGAGAACTGCTAATACCAATGAATTTAGATTTTGCTGATGTTTTTCTCTATCTCTTAGGCTTGCCAGATTTCCCTAAGAGTTTTCCAAATTCTTAAGTGGAATGCAAGAGCTAGACTGCACTGTTCTGGAAGCTGGGAGTGGGGGTGAGGGGTGGGGGGACCTGCCAGAGCTTGATGTGGTGTGTAGGAAAAGGAAGGATAGATGTTACAAAAGTAAATATCTAAATTACCACTTATCTCCCCCATAATGTGTAGCATTCAACAGTGCCTGGTATCTCCTCAGTCCAGAATCTCTCTGTTCTGCTATTCAAGAGAATAAACTTCTAGTATTCTGAGGCTCAGGGATGTTATCATGGAGAAAATGGGAGGGAAATCTCTCTGCTTCTAAACAGATTTTCAACCAGATCTCATCAACATAATTCTCATCCTCATTTTCAGAGGTATCTGGTATACTAAAAAGGAGGCCCTTCAGAGGATCTGCAGTATAAACTGGACTGTATCTTGACTTTATCAGTAGCTAAGAATTCAGTTACTTGAACAGACAGCTCAACATCTGTTTTCCAGCTTCTAAAATTTTGTTGCTACTGCCTTCTTTCCCTCTCTTTTCTGTCTTTATTATGTGTGCTCAGCAGTGTATGACTCTTTGCAACCACATGGACTGTAGCGTGCCAGGCTCCTCTGTTCATGGAATTTTCCAGGCAAGAATACTGAAGTGGGTTGCCATTTCCTATTCCTAGGGGATTTTTCCAATCCAGGATTGAACCTGAGTCTCTTGAGTCTCCTGTGTTGGCAGGAGGATTCTTTAACACTGTGCCACCTGGGATGCCCCTTTATTAATTATATCTATTTGCTAAAAACCCAAACACTTCTTCATTGTCCTTAAGTTTCAGAGGTAAATGCATGTGATTAATATACCATTTGAATCATACATCTTTTTTCAAAAGGATGACAAGGCTTCTTTTTTGTTGTTTTTGCTTTTCCAGTCATGCCATGCAGCTTGTGGGATCTTAGTTTCCCGACCAGGGATTGAACCCATGTGAAAGTGCAGAGTCCTAACCACTGGACTGCCAGGGAATTCCCCAAGGGCTCTTGAAACTTAATGTCAGAGTGGGAGATACACTTCCAAAGTACCTGCCAATTTCAGACAACCTAAGTTTGATTGAATTTTTAATTTCTACTAGCAACTGTTAAAGATGCCTGCATTCAAAAGAGTAAATCAAACCTAATCCACAGATAAATAGAAAAGAATATGGGAGAGAAAAACAAACTTTGACAAGTAGAACATGAAAAGTCTCATTGGAGGAAATAACCTGAACATTATTTTGAAGAGTTCCACAGACATATAAAAAGCACTAAAGAATTCATAAGCAATAAAACAGCACAAGCAAATACAAGGAGCAACAATGTGCTTCACTGAATCCTCTGCTTCCCTTGTTTTTTCAAGAAAGGTCTAACAAAGTCCTGAACTCGGAAAGCCCTGATTAACCACATTTACTTTTTCGATTTCAATTAGCACTTAACATGAAAATAACTCCAAAACCGTTTATTTTCCAGAGCGAAATATTTACTTGGTGAGAGGTCTGCTCCATGTCCCTGCATCAGAAAATCCCAAGCCGCCTTCCTTAAATATCTCCTGTCCCCGAACCACTTCCACCTCCTTCATTGTCAAGCCATCATATCCACTGAGTAAACCAACCAGCAAGCAGTCCTTGAACCAAGTTTGATTCTTCCTACTTTCTCCCTTAACACCAGTTTCCAAGTTCCCACTTACTATGTATTTTTTCAATAAGATGATAAAATCAATGCTCAGCAATTTCAAGCTTTACAGTCATTCTGTCACTAGATGCATTCTAATAACAGTGAGAAGGCAAAATGAATAATCTGAGACCCAAACTAATCTATACGAATAGCTTTATCACGAATTTTCTTAGAATAAACATTACTGGGAAGGTTTTCACTTTTTTATTACAGAACTGTTTAGCTTCCTGCTTAAGCTGGATAATTACAAAGGTGAGTGAGCGTAAAAAGTGTTTAGCAAAAAACAAAGAACAGAGTACTCCCTAAATTTAAAACTTTACTTGCTTAGTTTATTCAAACCAACTTTATGCAAACCATCTTCCAGAAGCTTACTCATAAATAGCCTATAAAACCAGAGAAATAGTTGAGAATATACACATACGTTTTTGTTTTAACTGCTGACTGATATGAACTACAGGGAAGCCATAAAACATGTGGGCAACTAATGATCCCATGGCAATTATTATCCTCAGTTATAGACCAGAACAGACCATGTAAAGATATGGCAAAAACAGGAGCATTAGAATCAAGTCATTTGACTCTTGTTCTGCATCATAATACCTTGTTGATACATAATCAACCAAACAAATTACTTGGAAGCAATGCACCGTGGTGTCAGAGAAGACTCTTGAGAGTCCCTTGGACTGCAAGGAGATCCAACCAGTCCATCCTAAAGGAGATCAGTCCTGGGTGTTCACTGGAAGGACTGATGCTGAACCTGAAACTCCAATACTTAGGCCACCCCATGAGAAGAGTTGACTCACTGAAAAAGACCTAATGCTGGGAAGGATTGGGGGCAGGAGGAGAAGGGGACGACAGATGATGAGATGGCTGGATGGCATCATCGACTTGATGGACATGGGTTTGGGTAGACTCTGGGAGTTGGTGATGGACAGGGAGGCCTGGCGTGCTGCGATTCATGGGGTCGCAAAGAGCTTGACACGACTGAGCAACTGAACTGAACTGAACTGAATGTATTTTACACTGGTTTTCATAAAGTATTCTTGCACTCGATTTCAAAGTATTGAAGAGCTGTAGAAATGTTAAACTCTCTGTAAACATGTACTAGATAGCTTGCTATGCATAAAACCTTTTTCTTTTTAATGTCCCACAGTTACAGAATGCCACCTAGTCAGCCATCTAACCGTCACGTAATCTTTCCCTCTTCTGTAGAAAATGATAAAATGTTAAAGAATTAATAATGAATTTATAAGCTCAGAATAATTATTATCCATAAAGATTATATTGATTGCTAAGCCAAATTATCTTTGGACTGTTTCACTACCTAATGTATGAGTAAGAAAAAAATTCATGGGAAGGGGAATACCACAACTTATTCTCCAAAAAGGAGGAAAAGGGGCAAAAAAGCAAAGGAATATGAATCAATAAAAGCTGGACTTTCTGGTCAGAAGACCAACAACAGTGAAAAACAATTTTAAAAACATAAATGTTATCTCATTTTAATGAATTTTAAGGATAACCAAAATTGCTGCACATTACTAAAGTGTTAACTCAGCTGGAGTTTTACAAAGGTACACTATCTCTTTTATTTTTAAAGAACGGTTCATGAATAAAATCTACTGAGTGTCAACAATGTGCCAAGCACTGCAGGAAAACACAAGGAAGAGACTCTGGCATAGAAGTATTAAAAATCTCATGGAATTACAAGGTAAACTATAATATGATATACCAAAAAAATGTAATAGAGGCATGTATGAGTACAGTGAAGCCACAGAAAATACCCAGGCCTGCCTGGTAGAGTCAGGGAAGACTGAAATCGAGGTGCTGACCTCTCAAAGCAGTAAAGTGGAGAGGTGATTAAAGAAAAAGGATGACCATGAAGAAGGGACCATAAACACTCTATATAAAAGCCTTGGAGCAAAACAATCCAAAGTTAGAATGTTTTGGATAGACTGACAAATAATATTTTAGAACAAACCAAGCACTATATACCATAGATGGGAAAGAACAACAACAACAAAAAGAGCAAGAACAAAACAGACAATTACCTCCTTTTGTAGTATCATTCTGGGCCTGGATACCATGATGCAATGAATTATGAATGGCAGAAAGAAGATCTGCTGCTTGAACCATCAATTTTTGAGCTTCTGCAACAGCACTGGTCTAGCAAATAAATCACCAAAAACATTCTTACATATTCTTTCACTGAAAGATATACATTAAATAGGAAAATCCTATAAACAATAATGAAATTATTAAATGCTTGTAATGACATTGGTTTTCACAAACTATTCACTTAATACAGGATGCCCAGATCCTGTTAGGATAGAAATAATTTTTTTACTCATATCAATACTTTGTAGGAACCACTACAAAACAATAGGAAACATTTCTGGTTTATTCTACCAATCTCATGTTTTTTTTTTCCTAAAGAGATGTAGTCAACCAGAAAATGAGAAATTGCAACATTCCTACTAAGTCATTCATCAAGGTGAAATTTTAAAAAAAGAAGATAATTACAGAAGTTTATAAGGGCTGGATCTTTACTCAAAATTAACTATTCACAAATTAGTCTGTAATTTACTTGAGTTAACACAATACACACACACACACACACACACACACAAATACTCACCATCTAAGGGTTGTTTTTGGTTCTATACAAATCCAAATTAATTATTTAACTGAATGAAACAAGAGCCTACCTAAAATTCTCATTTTTAATTTCTCCAATTAACTTCAAAGAAACAATTTCAATTTCTACTATTATATCCACTAATAAGCAATACATTATTTTTATATCAACAACAGACATGAATATGTTAAGGGCACAATGTAAAATTCATGTAACTTTCAGAGAAAATCATCAGGGATATCCTGACAAACACACCAAATGCTGAGTGCTGTGTATGTGTGCATATACATTCCAATAGAAAAGTCTCAGAACTACCAAAATAAAGCATTCCATCAAAAACAAAAACACTGAACAGATTAAATACCCTTACCTCTTTCTTAGTAAAGGCTATAAGCACTGTCAGTAACACTCGAGTAAATTTCACTCTGCTGAATACTGCTAAACATTGCTGGTGCTAAAAAAAAATAAGAAAGGACTAAAAGTTAAAAGATGCAAAGTCTTGTGAAAGAAATTTCATTTTAAAATACGGTATATTAAGTCCTAAATCTCGGTGTTAATATCTTAGAAATAGCTGCATAAAACACAGTAAAATGAAGCCTATTTTACTGAAACAGAAATATATAATAAAGCTTAAGGACTGATTTTTTCCCCAAGTCAGGAGTTACACTATTATTTCAAAACTGATTTAATTAGTATTTTTAAGAGGACTGATAGAAACATGCTTTAAGCAGTCAGAAAACTTAGGATCTCAACAATACTAGACAAATTTTGATATGTAAGTTCTTGACTTCTGCCAAGTTTTGGTGGATCATCTGAAAGGAAAAAAAAACCATTTTTTTCTTCCTACCTACCTCATAAGAATATCGAAGAACTCTGAAATCACGTATCTGAAAGAGCTGTATTATAATTCTATCAAACTAAATACAAGGGAAATAAATTCCCTTGTAATGTCCAATTTTTAAAGAAATACCTTAAAAAGGGCTTCCATAAATTATAACGCAGTTCATAAAACTACAACATTAAGAGGCAGACTTCTCTGATATTATCTACCAGAAAATAAGTTCAATTACTTCTAGTTCAACTTCTGGGTCTCTTTCTTCTCCTTGTCGACTTCGAGTACTCTAAAATTTTAAAAAAGGTGAGTTAAAACAAACACAAGCCTGTAAAAGCATAAATTATGATTACACAAGGTAAAGGAATAAATTAACTTATTGAGTATACACTATGTTCTGTCTGAAGCAAATATCTGGAAGGAAAACGTTGTATCAATTATTTACCTAATAGTACTATATACACTTAGTTCATTTTGATATAAAGATCACACAAAGGAAAAAGGTACTTATTAAAAACAGCAAAAGCAAAACAATGAATGATATAAGCAAAAGCACATGGTACACAGTACTTCCTTCTTTTAAAAGACCTAGTAACTGAAGTTCCTGATGTTCTCAAAACTAACCCAGAGAAATGCAATGCGACCTGTACAGAATCACATCATCAAGTCACACGGTAAAGACTGCTCAGTGCTACCCTAACACGCAGACTCTTCATACACATGGAACATGTGGCTGAGGATTCGGGCCAAACCCGAAGGCAATACCACAGGAAGAGCCGGTAGATCTGGGTTCTAGACCTGGAACTGCCACTTAATAACGGCAGGCCCTTAAGAAGACTCAAGACAGGTTACCTGAGGCTTTTGAGCTCTATTTTCTTCATTTGAAAATGTATTTTATTGCCTAATACACTGAATAACTGTAAATATCAAATAAGACAATAATGCAAAACTGTTTTGACAACCATGCTGTTATATAAGTGTAAAAAAATAATATAAATGTAATTCTTCATTTTTAATCTCTATCAGAACAAAATCATCATGGTCATCTGGCCAAAGGGTGTCTGTCGCTCATAGGTTTTTACCAGATTTGAGAAACCACTATTTATTGCCCTCTTCTACTATGCTCCAGACACTGTCCTAACAATTAAAAATACAAAGGTGAAGAAGATAACCCTTACCTTTGAGGCATTTAAAACTCTAGCATCTTATGCTATTCTTAAAACAGCATACTAAAATTCTAAAACAGTGGCAAAAAATTTGAAATGGTTAAATTTTGAGTACTTGAAAGTAATATTAATTCATCAGAAACCACTCCAGTAGTCTTCAAACTCATTACAAAAAAAGGCATAGCATACATAAAGGAACTTGGTAGCCTTACCTAGCTATTTGTAATTAGCTTACTAGCTATTTGTAATTAGCTAAAGTTAACCTGACATTTAGAAGAATATAAATATCCTATACTAAAGAAAAGAGAAAGAAAATATACCTTTACTCTTCTTTGCATGTCATCCTCCACATCTTTTAGCATGCCTAGAAATAGAGACAATAATTTTAAAAGGAAACAAATTCAAATGTAAAACTTGTGAATTACCTTTATAAATGGTTTTACCTGTAACTCGAAGATCTGTCACACTGTTAGCCATTTTAAATCCGTAAGTCATTGACTGAAAATCTTCCTATATAGAAAAGCAATAATTAGGCCCTTGAATAGTAGCAAAACCTTTCATCATTTTTCTCTTGCAAAATCAGTATTTGCTAAAAGGAAATGGTAATAGAATGTCACCTCAAATATTGCTATCATTCACCCTACTTTCTTTATAGTCATACCATGAAAACACCACATTCTAATGCTATCTCTAGTCCCTTAATTTCAACTGTTTATCCTTAGGCTATTTAAACATACTTGCATTTAATATGTTCATCTGCAAAACCATGCTTATGATAATATTACAAATTTTTCCCACCTACAAAGAATTCTCACATTTACAGGTGAACAATAAATACATAACAATTACTATTTGATGACAGGTTGCAAAATTTAGACAAGACTCTTCAAAACCTATTATGTGTCTTTTTACAGACTGTTAGGCTATAAAAGTTAAGCTTTTCAAACAGAATTACTCAAAGTGACAGCAGAACCACATTCCCACTTCGACCCATTGTAAAGAAAAAAATGATTCAAATATGGGTTCCCACTCTCAAAATAATTTAAAACACTTCTGAGATATTAGCAAATTAAGTTGTTGGCTGGATCCACTAAGAAGAGTTTAAGATCACCTTGGCTAAGAAGTTAAAAGCTCTAATAAAGAAGTGTTTCTGCCATATTACAATTCTTATAAAATGTATATAAAAGCCTAATATAATGGAATAATAGACATTCACAGCAATGGCCAGAATTGTAGAGAAATTTCCGGACTCAACAAAAACGTCAGTAAGCATGCAATTCATGTCAAACACTAAACTTACAGAGAGAATGAAGTACAAACAAATATCCTAGTCTCAAAGAACTCAGAGGAACTGTATGCCTCATAGGACTGGGTCTTTTAAGTCTCAGGTTGTATTTACAGAGCTATAAACGTAGCCTCTGGATGAAGCTTATACTCTTATCTCTACTTGGACATCAAATAGGATTCTCAAATTGTACATGTATAAATATGAACTTTCATAGTGTTTACCACACTGGTAAAAGGCACTTCCATCCATTCCATTATTCCAAGTAGGAGTGAAGAACCATAGGAATCAGAACACAAATAACTTACAAACAGAGGTGGTAGCATGCTTCAAGCTTCAAAGATCGTAAGGGGTGACAAAGACTAAGTCTAAGGTATGGCCACTAAAAAGATAAATCCTAAATGATTCCAAGAGAAAACAGGAGTCAAGAATCAGGATGGTAACACTGGGATTATAAATCAGTGGAACAATGCCTTCAAAATTCTGAGGAAAATTATTTTCCAGCCTAGAAGTCTATTATAGCCAAACCATCGACCAGGTGAAAGGGTAAGGAAAACATTTTCAGACATACAAGGTCTCAAAGAAAAATTCCCTCCCTGTCTCCCCAAAGAAACTGGAGGCACTGAACAAGCAAGGTTATAAACTTCTAACGATACAGGCATAAGATCCAGGTTAACTAGCGATCTAACAAAAAGAGAGGGAAATGGAATTCCTAGGAGAACAATGCAGAAAATCTGGGATGACAGCTCCAGGCCTAGAAAGCAAATGACCTAGGTAGAAAACAAAGAAGTTCAAGAATATTAAAAAAAATTATACATTACTGGATGTATGTATAGATGCATATAAACACGATGAAATATACAGATTATCTGATAGTTTAATAATAATGGGAAAGGAATTAAGGAGAAGTACACAGAAAACTAAGCAAACTCAAAAGAAATAGTAATTACTGCCTTTAAGAAAAAAAAAATTTGTATGAGTAAAAAAGCATACACTACTCTGGCTCATCTGTCATTAATATTTATACAGTCACAATAATGTCTGTAGTGAATGATTTAACCATAAACTGAATTATTATTTGGAGTGAGGGATGTATACGAATCCTTAGCATATAAATGCTAAGTATACACTAAAAATTTGATGCTATATGCTACCTAAAGGTTGATAAATTCTTAAACCTAGAAACTAGAATATTAGCCTATTATACAGAAATATGGGAACTGTAGGAAAAAGCTAAAAGAAGTGATTATTATGAATGGATAAGGAAAGAGGAGAGCACTGTAATTTTTCATTATACACTTTGTGGGCTAGAGAGAAGAAAAAACAGTGCCCAGATTCAAGACATTTGCAAGGTAAAAGAATCTGGATGTAGGAGGGTAAAAAAAAAAAAAGTAATCAAAGATAACACTAAAGACATCATTTTGCAAGACAGCAGAAAAGCCATTTGATAGAGGAACTGTGGTTCCCATTTTGCACGTGAGCAACATATTAAAAGAAACTTCTTTGGGCAAATGAGAACGTCTCCGGTTCAGGAGTAAAAACAAAGCAGAGACATAATATATAATCATTAGGGGCTTCAGAAGCATCCATTTCCAACAAATTATTTGTTGATTTTAAGTCATTCATATTTATTCATTACTAGACCTCTAAAGGGTTTTACTAAGCAATCAACTTTTTTTAAATTACCAAACTGAGACAAATTCATCTGGATTATCTGAAAAGTTTAGCAAAACAAGAAAAGTATCTTTCCAGCCTAGGAACTAACTTTTGTTTCTCCAGTTTCAGTTTTACATAATTGGTTACACTGTGTGCTGCCTTCTTAACCTTTTAAAGTATGCATTTTCCCATGATATCAAATACTGTCATCTCTATATATTCATTACACATAATCATTATTATATGACATACAGTTAAGCACAATTTATTTCAACCATACCCTAATGGTAATATTTTTATCAACACCAATTTTCACTATTAAAAACTCTGATTAATGTATTTGGACATTAAGCATCCCTATGCCTAATAATTTCTTTAGGGCTGAGTTCTAAAGGTGAAGTAACTAGTTTAAATGGTATCAATAAGTTTAAAACTATTGATATATACACTGCTAAACTGTTTTCCAAAGCAGCTATGTTAATGCATACTCTCATGAGTAAAAAAAAATATATATATATATATTCTTATTTTAAATACTCTGAAAATGAAAAGTGAATTATTATTTAAGATTTTCTTGGATTACACTGAGCCTGAATTTTTTTTTTTAGCCTGAATTTTTTAAATGTTATGATCATTTGATAACCTTCCTCTATGAATAAGCTATTTATTTTACTGCCATTTATTCATTTGGGTTTTATTCTCATCTTTATTTGAATGGGATTTTAATACACAAAAACTGATTTTTTTTCTGTATTTTTCCTAAGAATTTTTTCTATCTGCTTTTTTCCTATTAGTCCCTTTCTTTATGATTTCTTTTATTTCTTAGTAAGTCCTTCATCCAGAGAGTATGCAGAAATTTGAACTAAAAAATATTACAAAATTTTTTTTGCTTACTTAGGAAGTAACATAGGTGTATAATAAAAATTACAACAATACAAACAAGTTTATACTCTGACCCTCAATACCTTAGTTATCTTCTTGTGTATGATGATTTAACTACCTATCTCTTTTTAAAAAAAAGAGCAAAAATGGTAGCAAGTTACACATGCTCTTCTATATCAAACTTATATTTTTACATTAATTTGGAGATCTAATTTGTATAAGCAATCCTACCCCCTCCTTTGTAAAGGGTGCAAAACACTTACTTGGCAGTATGAGGGTAGTGTCATTTAATGTCTTGTACTGATGGACACTAGTTCCCAGACTTTAGTTACTACAAACACTACAACTAATGTCCTTGAACATAGATCTTTGGGGATAAGCTTGAATATATTTATAGGCTAAATTCCTAAAACTGAAACTGATGAAACAAGACAAGCCTTTTAAATCATAGATAGTACCAAACTACTCTTTTTAAAAAGTTGTAGAATTTACACTCCCATCAAAAATGCATGAATCTTTGTTTATAGTAGAATCCTGTCCTAACTAATAAATGTGGAAAGAGTGCTGGAATTCAGAATCATCATTTTGAAGTCCACACACTAAAATTAGCCCAAGCAAGTACCGAGAATGGATACTACATATATATGGAAAGATTTTTTAATAAGCAGGATATTTATATGATCTTAAAGAGTTTCCCTACATATTGCTTACTATGTACCCAAGGTTAAAAACAGTAACCATGAAAATGTGAACTGGTGCAGGCACTTTGGAAAACAGTACAGAGGCTTCTCAAAAAAACAAGTAGAGTTGTTATATGATCCTGCAATCCTACTCCTGGCCATCTATCTGAACAAAACTATAATTCAAAACACACAGGCACCCCAATGCTCACTGCAGCACTATTTACAATGGCCAAGACATGGAAACAACATAAATATCCATTGAAAGATGAATGGATAAAGATGTGTGTGTCTGTGTATATATATACATACATATACACAGACACACACATATATATGCACAATGGAATACTACTCAGCCATAAAAAAGAATGAAATACCATTTGCAACAACATGCATGGACCTAGAGATTATCTAAGCAAGAGAAGTAAATCAGAAAAAACAAATACCAAATGATGTCACTTATATGTGGAATCTAAGATATGACACAAATGAACTTATGTATCAAAGAGAAACAGACTCACAGACATAGAAAACAGTCTCATGGTTGCCAAGGAGGACAGAGGAGGGATGGACTGGGAGTATGGGATTAGCAGATGCAAACTATTATATATAGGACAGATAAACAACAAAGTCCTACTGTCTTAGCACAGGGAACTATATTCAATATCCTGTGATAAACCATAAAGGAAAAGAATAAGAATGTATATATACATGTATAACTGTGTAACTGCATCACTATGTGTAGCAGAAATTGACATAGCAATATAAATAAACTATACATCAATAAAATAATTTTTTTTTAAAGTAACCATACAGTAATCAGAAAGCACCTTGATGGGGTGATAAAGTCACATTACCACTGAGGGACAGATGGACACTCTATGTCTCAGATATGAAACTACAAAAAGGATACAGTATTACTGTCATATTCCAGCCAGGACTGCATAATATAAATCTAATCATGAGGAAAGAGTAGACAAGCCCCAAGTAAGGAACATTCTATTAAATAAGGGAAAGCAGGAGAGGGCTGTGTTTTCCAAAAATACCAGTGTCATTAGAGACAATGAGGAATTGTTGTAAATTAAAGGACACTAAAGAGATATGCAACTAGACGCAGGACATGATCCTAGACTGGATCCCACACTGTAGGGAAAAAACACTAAGGACGTTACTAAGTCAACTGACAGAGAACATGGGTAGGTAGTGGACTGGTATCATAGATTTGCTGAGGTTGATCATTGTGCTGTAATTGTGTGTGAGCGTGTCCTTTTCCTTACGAGGTGCATATTGACGCGTCTCGGAGATCAAAATGTACATAGTTTACTTGCCAATGGTTCAGAAAGATACATATATACATACATAGGTGAGAGAAAAAGTGAAAAATGACATGATAGGTTAACAGCAGCTGAATCTGGGTGCTCTTGGTGCTATCACTGTTAACTGCTGTTATTTGGAAAACATTTCCAAATAAACTAAAATTTTTAGAAGTTAAAAAAAAAGGAAAACAATGACTATTCATATACCCCCCCTCACAAACACACTTGCCCCCCCAGCATGTCAGTGCCTATTATAGGTAAAAAAAAAAATGGTATCTCAGTTTTAATTTGCATTTCTAAAATGAGGTTAAACATCTTACACTTAATGGCCATTTTATTTCTATAAAGTGCCTTCTGATTTTTAAGCAACTTTTTTATATCTAAAACATTTTCTCTCTCTACAATTTACTTTGATGTTGTTATAAACTGAATGTTTGTGTCCCCCTCCCACTCCCAAATTCATATGTGAAGTTCTAATGCCCAATGTGATAGCAATTGGAGGTGGAGCCTTTGGAAAAGTTCTTTAACAATGAGTTGCAAGGCTTAAAAAACTAAAAAAAGAGAGGGAACCTACAGACTGAGACTTAAGACATATCAACCAACTGCAATAGACTGATTGTGTCCCCTCAAAATGTATATGTTGAAACCTAACCTCCAATGTGATAGTGCTGGGAGATGGAACCTTTAGAAGGTCCATGAGGGTGGGACCCTCATAAATGGGATTAAGTGTCCTTATAAAAGAGACTCCGGAGAACTCCCCATCCCTCCTTCTGCCATGTGAGGCCACAGTGAAAAGACGAACCAGGAAGCAGGCCCTCACCAGGCACCAGATCTGCTGATACCTTGATCCTAGACTTCTCAGCCTCCAGAACTATGAGAAATAAGTAACTGTGCATAAGCCACTCCAGGCTATGGTATTCTGTTATGGCAACACAAACGGACTAAGGCAGATGTAAAATGCTGATAAAGTAAGTTTCAAGGGTGCCAACCAATTATTCCAGAGCTATTTGGAAAAAACACCCTTTCTCTGTCCCACTGATTTTTAATGTCCTTTTGGGAATACTTAAAACAATTTGTGCGTCTCTTCTTATTTTTTAACTCAAACTAATCTTTTAAAAAATTCCATCCAAATGGGTAAGATTTTCTACCCGTATCAATTCAAATATATAGCTAAATAATCAATGAGTGTTTAAGAAATACCCAGTACTTCATAAACAACTCATAAGCCACACATTTAAATGTGGAACTCACATCAGGTGTATACTTAGCTATTATGCTCACATATATAATGTACATTTAGAAAAGCTTTACGCTGAACCACTGCTGGAGCCTAAGATATTTATTCTGGATCAGTAACAGTGTGAAAAAGAAACTTAATGGTTTCAACAAATGAAAGACACAGAAATAACTTAGTTTCAAATGCTATCACATCTCCCCTTAAAATACAGTGTCTATAATCATTTTTTTTTTAATGATAAATGGAAAAAATCTTTCTATGACTAAAATGTAAAACACTTCGTCAGTTTGAGGTACTACTAAGTGGAAGAAAAAGTTTATACTCTAAACTATTCTTCATAACTTTTGTTTTCCTTTCCTCCAAAGACTGAAATTAATTTTTATGTTATAATTTATAAGAGACTTAAGGGACAAGCTTATCTCTTCTATTTTCTTTGTGAATCCTCACAACATCCAGAGTAAGTACCTCTGTACATAATGAATACTCAATGAATGGTATTGAGAGAATATATATTAAGATGAAGGTGGCCAATGAGTTTCAGGAATTCTTAAATAACAAAATCTTACCTCTTCAAAAACAGCAGCTTTATTGACTTTTTCCCTTGCAATGTCACAGATTTTCAAGATACCCAGAGCAAAAGCTTTCATGGCAGGATCTTCTATAAAATCTGGATTATGAATGTAAAGGCACGTAAATACTGTCTGTGCCAAGGAATGGCCTTCTAACCACGTTATCTATAAAGAAATAAAAGAATGCACAAGTCTGAAAAGTCTGATTCAACAGTCCAAGGCCAGACACAGGTCCAAATAAATATGATTAATCACAAGATTTAAAAGGAGGTTAAAAGGAAGATCAGAAGAGTCTGAATTCACTTTCACTGACCAAAGTCTTTCAAGAATTAAAAATATGATTACCCAAAAGTTATAGATATGGGAAGCATTCTTTTATTAAATAATTCAGTTTGCAAAATATTTAGATATTAATGAAATTAGAGTGCCTCCTTACTTCACATCCAAACACTATTAATTCTATTATAACATAGAAAATAAAAACCCATGAAATTAAGGAATTCACAATTTTAGAGCCAACCAGGTTCTCAGCCACTCATTCAACTCTTCTTTTTCATCCCAACTACTACTAATCCAGTCAAGAGATTCATATCACACCTAGATTACCACAAGAAACTAGCCAACTGTTTTCCTGCTCCCAGCTCTACTTCAATACTCCCAGTAAGAAGGATCATTCTAAAGCACAAAAATAATCATGCAACACTCTTCTACTGAGTAACTACCATGGGCCAAGTACCCTGGGCTAGAAGCCAGAAGAACTGCAACCAAAACTGAGTAATTTATGATATTTGAGTACTATGCTAGGTATTCTGCATGTATCTTATCTCATTTTTTTCCCTAACACTTTGAGAAAGGTGGTGTTTTTCTCCTCTTACATATAAAGAAATAGCATAAATAATTTGCCCATGTTTATTGTTATAATTTATACTTAGTCCAAGAATTCTGCAATAGAGCAAGAAAACTACATTACAAAATGAGAAATGCACATGAAAATTGCTCTAATTAAGATGCATATTTTGTATTACTAGCATGCAGAAGACTCTCCAGACTAAAAACTGTCTGCCTATTAAAGTCCAAACTTAGATACAGCCCCAATACTCTCATAGAATTGTTCCTCAACTTTGACACAAATCCTCCATCTTGCCCCCTTTAATCTTATTCCACTACAATTACAAATGGCCAAAGAGTAATAAAAATATTTCTGAGGGAAGAGCTTTGGAGGAAGAAGGATCAGGATTGTCGCTATGCCCTTAGCAAGCAACATAACCCTAGGCAAATAGTAGGCAAACAGGTAAGAGTGATACCAGACCACTCACAGAGCTGATGTAAAAGACCAAAGTAAAAAACATACACATAAAACACATAACAGAAATACTTCATACACACTGGTAATCAATGAATATTTTACCAGACACACAAATGAAGAAATTTTACATTATGTCTAAAGACAATGATTTAATTTAATATCAAGTTTAAAAAAGAAAGGGACACTCAGAAAGTGGGGGTGGGGTGGGGGGCAATAGCAGTACAAATGAGTTTTCCCACAACTAAACCGCACTGTCTCAGGAAGACAACCTGTTAAGTGTACATACAGAAATAACTAAAAAATTTTCCTCATAGTGTAAAATGGCCAGTTTACTTCAATTTTCTCTACATTAGGAAAAAAATTTCTTCAAAGCCAATCCAAAACTCTCTTTGGTTAAATGTCATGCTTATTTACAGAACCTTTCAACTACAGATTTGTTTTCCTGGGTACCTTGAGAACAGAAAAGGCACTTTGGATAATGGCTGTATATTATTATCTTTCTTGGAAAGAAAATATCCTTCCAGAAAATGAGAACCTAAAATCACCCAGATGAAAAGAGAAAATAGCTGCTTCCTCCAGCATAACTTAGCCTAATAATCTTACATACATCTTACTAGGCCAAGAATTATATATATTTCATATTCAGTGATGGTGTATACACTTTCAAACTGAAATTCAAGTAAGCCACAGTTCTAAAATTAACAAACAGTGCTATCTTAACTCTTACCAAACAGCAAAAGCATGTATCCATTATCCCTATCAATTCAGGCAAGGTGAGGTCTTTAATTTTTATGGTGCCATCCTAAAAGAAAGGGGAAATAGGACATATAAGCTGTTTAAAAATGTATGGTTACTATGTACAATAAATATTTTAAAGTATAAATTCTAAGAAAACACTATCTCATCATCTAATAAAACCAAGGAGCCAAATTAACTGTATTCTTAAAAATAACATATCTTAATATGTCTTCAATACTAAAAATAAAAGCCTAATTTGAAATAAAGGCCTTTATAAAAAAATGAGTCAAACTAACAAATATTTTAAAATCACAGTTAAAATTAGTTTTGAACATTAACAAATATGAAGCATTTTAACGAACCGAAACTATAAAGAAAAAAATTTTTTTTAATTTTCCTTAAACTGATATATCTCATAATTTTTTAATAGTTTCCACTTATTTAACAAATCTTTCTTCACAAAATATGCAAGATTAAGCTCTGAGGCAACTATGAATGAACTTCTAAATTAATTCTCATTGAGTAAATTTCTAGTTCACTACCACAGGCATTTTACTTAATATGTTTATACTTAAAATTTAATCCTTAAGCCAATTACCTTGGTATGTATACTCAAAACACTTTCAAATATTAATTTAAAAAAATGCATGCATACACAAATTTAGAACAAGCTTTTAATGAGACCGTTGTTAAAATTTTCACACAGATAACTAACTTGTTTACATACCCTAGATGCATTTAAGAAAATTTGATATACTAAGTTTGATTTCCATTATTAATCAAAATGTTTTAACATATGAATAACAAATAATAAAAGAAAACACAAAAGGCACAATGGTAACCACCTTGATAGCTTGTTCAAAATTGAGAACTTTTCGATTAACTTGGTTTCCAATCATGCCAGCATCCATCTTGGGATCCATCATTTCAATGGCAGACATGGCTTCAAAAAGACCAAATCTGCAATAAAAAAAAAAATGACTCTACAAATTATATTTGAACCAATGCTTAACTAGATTCCCACAATGGTACAAAAATCATTATAGTATTGAATACTTCAAATAACTACCCTATTCTAGGTATTTAGTCTCCACAACTTGCTATCACTTCTATTTCAATTAAATAATCCTCCTTCAACATAAAATTTCTTCCATGTACTTGTCACTCAAACCATTTTACATGCACTATGGGACAACAAAAGAATTAAAAGAAAAGCTGTTTTTCATTCTTCCTTCAAAAAATCTGCACATTAGAACATTTTGGGGAAAAAAAGAGATCAACTGATCAGCAATGGATTTCACTTTGCCTTCTTTATTTAACACTTAGAAAGATATGTTTGGAATAATCATTATCAAATGTAACTTTTATGTATTTTTTTCTTTACATCTTGAAAGTCTAAAAATCTGGCATATCACCATCTATAATGCCCAAAGTTTTGGCAATTACATAAGAAAGGAAAAAAAAAAAAGAAATCCTGATGGTCTGATATTAGTGGCTTATTAGTTGTGATACAATATGGCCTGAAAAGTTGCTGCTACTGTTGCTAAGTCACTTCAGTCTTGTCCAACCCTGTGCGACCCCATAGACGGCAGCCCACCAGGCTCCGCCGTTCCTGGGATTCTCAAGGCAAGAACACTGGAGTGGGTTGCCATTTCCTTCTCCAATGTGTGAAAGTGAAAAGTGAAAGTGAAGTTGCTCAGTTGTGTCTGACTCATAGAGACCCGATGGACTGCAGCCTACCAGGCTCCTCCGTCCATGGTATTTTCCAGGCAATAGTACTGGAGTGGGTTGCCATTGCCTTCTCCACCTGAAAAGTTAGTATATCTTTAATTGAGATATGAAAAATGAAGAACCTAAAAGACAGTATGACTGGCCATCAAGGTATTCACTTTCTAATGTGCTTAGCCTAAGCCAATAGATTACTAGGAAAATAAAAGAGATCTACCTTGTTACACTACATCATTTCTCTCAGAACAGCAGCAGCAGTAAGATATTAAGAAAAATAAATAAATGGGATCCGATCACACTTACAAGCTTTTGCACAGCAAAGAAACCATAAACAAAATGAAACAAAACATCAACAAAACAAAAAGAAAACCTACCAAATGGGAAATAATATTTGCAAATGATGCAACCAACAAGGGCTTAATTTCCAAAATACAAATAGCTCATACCTCTCAACAACAACAAAAACCATCCAACTGAAAAATGGGCAGAAGACCTACTTAAACATTTCTACAAAGAAATACAAATGGCCAATAGGCACATCAAAAAGATGCTCAACACTGCTAATTAGTGAATTTCAAATGAAAACTACAAGATACCACCTCACACCAATCAGAATGGCCATCATTAAAAACTACAAACAACAAATGCTATAGAGGCTATAAAACAAAGGGAACCTTCATGCACTGTTGGTGGGAATGTAAATTGGTATGTTAAGTATGGTAAGCAAGTATGTAAGAAAGTTGGTATGAAAGTGAAAAGTGAATATGAAGCCGCTCTGTCGTGTCTGACTCTTTGTGACCCCGTAGACTGTAGCCTACCAGGCTCCTCCATCCATGGGATTCTCCAGGCAAGAATACTAGAGTGGGTTGCCATTTCCTTCTCCAGGGGATCTTCCTGACCCAGGGATCAAGTCCGGGTCTCCCGCATTGCGGGCAGACGCTTTAACCTCTGAGCCACCAGCGAAGCCCTGGTATATAAAGTTGGTATATAAATATATAAATATGCAAAACAGTATGAAGCTTCCTGAGAAAACTAAAAACAGAATTACCCTATAACCCAGGAATCCTACTCCTGGGATATATCCAGCCAATACTTTAATTCAAAGATACACACAGCACTTTATTCACAGCAGCAATAGTCACAATAGCTAAGATATGGAAACAGCCTACATGTTTACTGACAGATAAATGGATAAAGAACATGTGGTACATATATTAGCTTGGTGGAAAAGTAATTGCAGTTTTGCATCATTGAACTTTGCTGTTTAAAGTTCAACAGCATATTAAAAAGCAGAGATATTACTTTGCCAACAAAGGTCCGTCTACTCAAAGCTATGGTTTTTCCAGTAGTCATGTATGGATGTGAGAGTTGGACCATATAGAAAGCTGAGCACGGAAGAATTGATGTTTTGAACTGTGGTATTGGAGAAGACTCTTGAGAGTCCCTTGGACAGCAAGGAGATCCAACCAGTCCATCCTAAAGGAAATCAGTCCTGAATAGTCACTGGAAGGACTGATGCTGAAACTGAAATTCCAATACTTTGGCCACCTGATGCGAAGAGCTGACTCATTTGAAAAGACACTGATGCTGGGCATGATTGAAGGTGGAAGGAGAAGGCGACAACAGAGAATGAGATGGCTGGATGGCACCACTGACTCAATGGACATGAGTTTGAGTAAACTCCGGGAACTGGTGATGGACAAGGAAGCATGGCCTGCTGCAGCCCATGGGGTTGCCAAGAGTCGGACATGACTGAGAGACTGAACTGAACTGATGCTGTTGAGATTTGCTGATACTAGAAAATATTCTTAAATAAATGTGGCTATGTCATACATCATTTCAGGGCACACTACTCACTTTGCATTTTTTTGCTAATGACTTATACTTGATGTTTATTTTATATGTATTTTAGACTAGGGAAGTGATGTTAAGACAAAAGCAAATTTGAGTTATTTTCTTATTTGAGTTCAAAATGGGTGGTAAAGCAGAGGAGACAACTTGCAACATCGACAATGCAGTTGGCCCATGAACTGATAACAGATGTACAGTGCAGTGGTGGTTCAAGAAGTTTGGCAAAGGAGATGGGAGCCTTGAAGTTGAGAAGCACAGTGGCCGGCCATTGGAAGTTGACAACTAGCAACTGAGAGCATCATCGAAGCTGATCCTCTTACAACTACAGAAGTTGCTGAAGAACTCAACGTCGACCATTCTATGGTGGTTTGCATTTGAAGCAAATTGGGAAGGTGAAAAAGCTCGATAAGTGGGTGCCTCAGGAGCTGACCAAAAATAAAAAACAATTAGCATTCTTAAGTGTTATCTCCTTTTACTCTGTGCAACAACAATGATCGGACTGTGATGTGCTACAAAACGTCAACTGTATACAACTTCCAACAATGACCAGCTCAATGGCTGAACTGAGAAGAAGCTCTGAAAACGGCAACACCTGCAGCCAGCACTGGTCAACAGAATGGGCCCACTTTTTTCCCACAATGCCTGCCACACATCACACAACCAATGCTTCAAAAGTTGAAGGAACTGTGCTACAAAGTTTTGCCTCATCCACCATATTCGTTTGACCTCTTGCCAACTGACTACCACTTCTTCAAGAATCTCTACAACTTTTCGCAGGGAAAATGCTTCTGCAACCAGAAGGAGGCGTTCCAAAAGTTTGTTGAATTCCAAAACACGGATTTTCAAGGTACAGAAATAAACAAACTTATTTCTCATTGGCAAAAATGTGTTGATTGTAATGGTTTCTATTTTCATGAATAAAGATATGTTTGAGCTGAGTTATAATGCTTTAAAATTCACGGTCTGAAACTGCAATTACTTTTTCACCAACCTAATACAATGGATTACTACTTGGCCATAAAAAAGAACAAAATAATGTCATTTTGCAGCAACATGGATAGAGCTATAGATTACCATATTAAGTGAAATCAGACAGAGAAAGATACCATATGTTATTACTCATATGGGGAATATAAAATATTACACAAAGTAGTCTATCAACAGAACAGACTCAGGGACACAGAGAACAGACTTGTGGTTGCCAGTGGGGAGGGAGCTGGGGGAAAATGGAGGAGGCGGCTGGGGGTTAGCAAATGTAAGCTATTATATCCACGGTGGATAAACAAGGTCCAACTGCATGGCACAGAGAACTATATACAGTGCCCTATGATGAACCACAATGGAAGAGAACGCATGAAAACGTGTATGTACATATAACTGTCACTGTGCTGTAGAGCAGAAATTCACACTGCAGATCCACCACCAGTATTAATTAAGTATTTAATTAATACTTCAATTAAAACCACAACAGCAGCAGCGCTTTCAGGAGATACTCCCCGAAATCCCTCAAACCTCCATAATGCTTCAGTTTAAGACACTCTGACAATATGAGCATATGGTATTACTGAAGACAACTTTCACCTATAAATCTGATGCAAAGCTGTGGCTCAAAACCCAAAGAGCTTGTCAAGCCAAAAGAGAAAGTATGCAAAAATAGAAAAGAATCTTATCAATAAAACAGGGATTCACCGTATCAGATACTATAAACCTGTATTAATTAAAGGCATTCTAGCATACACAGATCAAGAGAAAACAATCTAAATCCATGTAGATTTATGTAATCCATGTAATTCCATGTAGGAATTACAGATGATAAAGATGAAATTTCAATTAGTGGAAAATCAGTGCATCAGTCAACCAACACTATTAAGATAAGTGGCTAACTACTGTGAAAAAGTGAAATCTTTGATTTACACAATTAAAAACAAACCCCAGGCAGATTTAAGTTCTAAACCTAAGACAAACAAATGAACAAAAATTTTTCAATAATTTACAAAGCTATGAAGAAAAAAGTTGATTACTCCAGTTGTGTAAAATATTAAAAAATTACATGCAATAATAAACTTGTCAGTTAAAATACAGACAATTATCTGGGGGAAATATTTTTAATATAGGCTATTTTGAAATAGTATCCAGAAAATATAACTAATTCATATAAATGTTTGTTGTTGTTTTAGTTACTAAGTCATGTCCGATTCTTCTGCAACCCCATCAACTACAGCCTGCCAGGCTCTTCTATGAGATTTCCCAGGCAAGAATACTGAAGTGAGTTGCCATTTCTTTCTCCAGTGGGTCTTGCTGACCCAGGGATTGAACCTGTATCTTCTACATTGGCTGGTGGATTCTTTACCACTGAGCCATGTGGGAAGCCCAACTCATAAAAATATGAAAAGGCAAGTAACCGGAAGAAAAGTAGGCAAAGGACATGAATGAACAATTAAAAGAAGAGAAAGTATAAACTATTAATATGAATAAAAATTCAAATATAATCAAATAATGCAAAACAAAATGATGGTTTTTTGAGGGGAGGAGTAAGGGAAATTTTAAAAAGTAAGCATACTCTCATATACTGTTGGTGTGTAAACTGATAAAGCCTTTTGTGAGGGAAATTTGGCTGACTCCATTAAAATCCAGTCATTTGATTTCTAGGCTTCTGTCTTCAAAATTATTTGCACATGTATATGTATAAAGCGGATGTATAAATTAAATCTACATTTAATTTTCCAATTTTCCCATGCTACCAATAAATGCTGCAATCTGAAAGTCCATCAATAGGGATACCACAGAACAAATTATGATAGTCATTTTATAAAATAAAAAGCAATTTTAAAATGAACAAGGTAGAACTATTACACACTAAAATGGAAAGAACGCTACGATATAGTGAATGGGAAAGAAATCTGCAGTACAGTACAGTCAACCCCTTCTATCCACAGTGGATTGGCTCCTGACAGATGCTCGAGTCCTTTACATAAAACAGCATAGTTGAATACTGCTCTGCATATCCCCATTTACAACTAACTAGTTTTATAACAATGACTATCTCCAGACAAGGAACAGAGACTGTGTGGGGGGAACGGTCTCATGGGAAGTTCTGCTTCATCCCTAATGCTTAAATCTGTTAAAATACAAAGTATCCATTTATTACTATATGAAAACAACTAAAGAAAAGTTGTTATGGGCACAATTAAAACCCGAGATCAATAAAATATGTCTAATTAGTAACATTGCCATAGAAACTACAGTAGCAATAAGTTAGCTATTCCATTCATTCAACAAATGCTCAGTGCCTACTAATACCTGCAAGGCACTGTTCTAGGCACTTGAGATACAAGAGGGAGGAAAACAAATATGACCACTTCCTGGAGCTCACATTCTAGTGGAAGGAAACAGACAACACAAAAGTAAATTACATAGGTAGATTACACAGAAGGCTAGAAGACTGTACATGCTAGGGGATGGAAATGACAGTTAAAAGACGATATGGATTAAAAGGATACAACTTTAAGATATGGTCATGGTAGGCTGTTGGTAATCATGATCCCTGGGCTCAATGACTAAAACCCTGAGGAAATGAAAAGGATTATGTTCCTCTTGTGATCCTTCTCAAATGCTGTTCCATAGCCAGGAGCCAGGTCTGATTTCATTACATCCTTCCTATACCTGTCAGTGGCATCAAATAATGATGTTCTCAAAGTGTGGTCCCTAGATCAGCAGCATCAATCTCACCTGGGAACTTGTCAGAAATGCAACTTCTGTGATCCCACACCAAACCTACTAAATAAGGAACTCTGGGGGCACGTCCCAGCAACCAATGTTTTAAAAACTCTTTCAGATGACACTGATATCACTAAAGTCTTAGAAGAACTAAACTTCAAATTCTACTTCTCCTAACCAAATGTCCAATCTTATCCACTTACTAATTTAAAATTTCATATTTCCAACCTTGAAAATTGAGTCTGGCCATAGCAGTATGAAACAGTGGCTATGGGAGTATACATTAAGCATTTCCTTTCATTTCCCAAGGGATTCTCAATCTACTTTCATCTAGGCAATTAGTCATCTGTTTCTGGTCATCAACCAGCCTATCACATGACATGCATATCATATGACATGCAACCAATCAGTTCAGTTCAGTCACTCAGTCGTGTCAGACTCTTTGCAACCCCATGAATCGCAGCATGCCAGACCTCCCTGTCCATCACCAACTCCCAGAGTTTACTCAAACTCATGTCCATTGAGTCGGTGATGCCATCCAACCATCTTGTCCTCTAGCATCCCCCTCTCCTCCCACCTTCAATCTTGCCCAGCATCAGGGTCTTTTCAAATCAGTCAGTTCTTCGCATCAGGGGGCCAAAGTATTGGAGCTTCATCATCAGTCCTTCCAATGACTATTCAGGACTATTTCTTTTAGGATGGACTGGTTGGATCTCCTTGCTGTCCCAGGGACTCTCAAGAGTCTTCTCCAACACCACAGTTCCAAAGCACCAGTTCTTCAGCACTCAGCTTTCTTTATAGTCCAAGTCTCACATCCATATATGACTATTGGAAAAACCATAGCTTTGAGTAGACGGACCTTTGTTGGCAAAGTAATGTCTCTACTTTTTAATATGCTGTCTAGGTTAGTCATAACTTTTCTTCTACAGAGCAAACATCTTTTAACTTCATGGCTGCAATCATCATCTGCAGTGATTTTGGAGCCCCAAAAAATAAAGTCAGCCACTGTTTCCATTGTTTCCCCATCTATTTGCCATGAAGTGATGGTACCAGATGCCATGATCTTAGTTTTCTGAATGCTGAGCTTTAAGCCAACTTTTTCACTCTTCTCTTTCACTTTCATCAAGAGGCTCTTTAGTTCTTCTTCACTTTCTGTCATAAGGGTAATGTCATCTGCATATCTGAGGTTATTGATATTTCTTCCAGCAATCTTGATTCCAGGTGTGCTTCATCCAGTCCAGCATTTCTCATGATGTACTCAGCATATAAGTTAAATAAGCAGGGTGACAATATACAGCCTTGACAGACTCCTTTCCGAATTTGGAACCAGTCTGTTGCTCCATGTCCAGTTCTAACTGTTGCTTCTTGATCTGCATTCAGATTTCTCAGGAGGCAGGTAAGGTGGTCTGGTATTCCCATCTCTTTCAGAATTTTCCAGTTTGTTGTGAATGCAACCAATAGCTTTTCTCAATAAATTTCACATCCTGTACATCTATTCTCAAGGAAAGGACCAGAAGTCACAGTTTCACTAGATACAACCACTTCCTATCACAACTAAAGTCAGCTGTCTCAAAGAGCTCACCCAAGGTTAAAAAATATATAATTAGTGTTATACTTACAACTTTGAAAGGTAAATTTACTCAGACTTCAAGGAATACTACTGCACACAAGAAAAAAAAAGAAATATTACACTACACTACTTTAAAGGATACAAATACTTACAGCTTATCATGAAGCAGTTCTCCCAACTTTAATTCTAAAAGAAACAAAAAAAGAAGAGAAAAACCTTTTGAATAATACCATATTTATATTTAACTGTTAATTCTAAGAAAAAAAATGAAACAAAATATTAGCATCTGGAAAATGTGCTTGGAGTCCTTTATACTTCATTTTCTAAGAAATGGTCATATTATTCTACTCAATTACTAATATAATGTCTTCTATGCAGTGAATATTTAAATAGTAACTATAAATTGAACTTCTGAGAATTTAGTAAGTGACCTACCCATCACAGGCCAAAGTAATACAATCAGAATTATCAGCCTCATTTAAAAAAAAATATCGCTAATATATTTATCCCTACATAAACTTTTCCACAGAACGCTAAGCTATTTTTCAAGTTGTTTTTAAACCACTTGGCGCCATAATCTAGTCTCTCTTTGTCCCAGGAACAGTGTCAAGACTATTTTTTTTTGGCTGCCCTGCATGGCTTACAGGGTGATCTCAGTCCTCCAACCACGGATTGAACCCGCACCCTGTGCAGTGTAACTGCAGAGTCTTAACCACTGGACCACCAGGAAAGTCCAAAAACCATTTTTTAAAATTACACTTGATGCAAATAAGGTAGAAAGCACTTGAGTAAACAGCTGATCAAGAATGTTTATCCCCTGTAAAGCAGCTGTTCTCAACCCTGGCTACATATCAGTATAAACTGGAGAGCTTTTGAAAATCCTAACGTCCAATCAGCATCCCAAATTAATTAAATTCTAAGAGTGGGACCTACACAGTGGTTTTAAAGGACTCCGGATGATTTCAGTGTGCAAGGAAGATGAGAACCACCACTGTATTATTTTTAAGTAGCTTAAGTGTTGATGGTCAAATCCTGTGGAAGATATAAAGAAGCAGCTTTCAGAATTTTACTAACCCCCCTAGCTCACTATAAGTTCAGTAACATTCGGTTTTTAAAGTTTCATGTCCCTTCCTCGATGGCTTATGTGGGTAAAGAATCTGTCTGCAATACAGGAGACACAGCTTTGATCCCCGGGGTTGGGAAAATCCCCTGGAGAAGGAAAGGGCAACCCACTCCAGTATTCTTGCCAGGAAAACCCCATGGACAGAGGAACCTGGTGGGCTACAGTCCATGGGGTCACAGAGTCAGACACAACTGAGCAACTAACTTTCCTTTCATGTACCAAAGCAAATAAATCAATGAGAAACATTTCTCAAAATACTACAATAAAGCAGAACATACAACAGTTCTCAAAGACTGTCTGAGAACCAAGAGTCTATGACATTGAAGTTGTTGTTTTTGTTTAGTCTTTAAGTCATGTCTGATGCTTTTGTGACCCCCTGGACTGCAGGCTGCCAGGCTCCTCTGCCCGTGGCATTTTTCAGGCAAGGAAACTGGTGTGGGTTGTCATTTCCCTCTCCGGGGATCTTCCTGACCCAGGAATTGAAGCCATGTCTCCTGCACTGGCAGGCAGATTCTTTACCACTGAACCACCAGGGAAGCCCAATGTTAAAGTTACTTTTCAAATAATACTAAAAGATTCTTTCATTGTGTTGACATTTCCAATGATGATGCAAAAACAACAGTGTACAGAGGAAAAGGGCAGAACTGTAGTTTTAGCACAAATCAAGACAGTGGTCCCAAGCAAAACAGCATATTCTTCATTTCCATGCACTTTCACTCAAGAAGTCTTTGATGGGAATGGTAAAAATTATTAATCTCAGGGCAAGGACCAGAGTGCAAGTGAGGCATATACGGTGCAAAATTTAACGAGGCACTTTCAGATAGTACCTTCTTAAGTTTTGTACCCTGTGTGCCTCAGTCATTTCATCCTAGGGCTGGTCCTGAAATACCTAATTAAATTTCAGTCTCTGAGTACATCTTTTTAATACTCTATTTGATAAACAGGAAGCATATGTAAACTTCCTCTGCTTACTACCAAAGTAAGAGACTGTCTCAAAGAAAAGCTCTTACACAATTATCATGGAACACCATTTTTACTGGAAAGAACATGACAAGTTAGTCATTCGAACTTGACAATATAGCAGTTTTTTTTAAAAAAAATAAGAGTTTGTCACTTTAAGAAAATAACCGAAGTGGTTTACTGCCAATGACAATATTTGAACTTTCAAAAAAAAAAAATCAGAACTCTGGAAAACACATATCTGCCACTGTGAACTTGACAGTGTCCCAATATTTAAAAAGACTTTCCTGATTATACTGGTGGTGATATTATTGACAAATTTGTTTTTTAATATTGTATAATGAAGTGTGTCAACACCTGGAAGATGTGCTTAACTCACTAAACCAGTTTTTGCAAATGATAATCCATGTCACAAAATAAGGCATGGGTAAAAGATCCAAAGTTCTAGACAGACCAATATACTTTATGTAACAGAGCATGAAAGGTCCACTGATAGGCTTTCAGATTCCACACTGCAAACTAATCTTTAAGAAACTATCACCTGTTACAAGTTTTGGTGTAGTAGCAAATTACCCAAAAAGTTTCCCAATCTTTTAACTATATATTTTGTGAGGCCAGATTTACTTCTAATGTTTCAACCAAAACAACACGTGGCAACAGATTGAATAAGAAGCCGCTATGGAATTCAAGTGCTCTCTATTATGCCTACATCAGAGATTTTCAAAAGTATAAAATAATGCCACTCTTCAAAGTTGTCCTTTGTTTTGAAAAATGTAATTTTCTTTTAAAAATGCTATGCTGACATGCAAAGGGTTTATTATCATTTTCAAATATTTTAAAAAATTTCTCAGTTTCAAATTCTAATAAACATCAATATACATATAGTACACATAAGCAAAACTTCTTAAAAAAACCACATGTGCTTGCATGCTCAGTCATGTCCAACTCTTTGCAACCCTGTGGACTGTATCCCTCCAGGCTCCTCTGTCCATGGATTTTCCATGCAAAAATACTACAGTGGATAGCCACTCCTTTCTCCAGGGGACTGTTTCTGACCCAGGATTGAACTTGTGTCTCTTGCATTGGCAGGTGAATTCTTTAAGAATATAAAGGAGTCCTGATGCCAAAAAGTTTGAGAACTGCTATAATAATTTATCATAAACTTTAGAGTAGATTTGGGTACCAAACAGCTTCACTGAACACTCCAGAGAACTAGGAGCAAGTAGATCACTCTGGACACTGAGTTCATCATCTGAAAAATGAAGGGCTGTACTAGATGACTCTGTAAAGTTCCTTAGGACATCCTCCCTTTTGCCTTGGAAATGAACAATAAACTATAACTTGTAGCTGGAGTTTGGATTTGCAGTAGTGCTAAGCACTTGAAGCATATATTCATTCTCCCAAAAAGTAATCTAACAGAATGAGAAAAACATCCAACTATTTGACATTTTACCATCTTACAAATGAGAACATAATTTGTAAACTGAAGTTACAGATATCTACACATAACATTATAAATGATGGTTAAATTTGCTGCTTTCTTCACTATGAAGGCCCTATTGAATCTATGACATAGCTGGACACCAGTATCATTATACAGTAATAATTAACAGATGAATTAAAGTTCACCCCTGGGGTAAAGGTGGCCAACTGAACACATGCAACAACCTTTAATTCCCACCTGAAACTTTATTTCAATAATTAAAGTTAAAAAAAATTTTTTTTAAAGAAAACTATGAACCTTAAGGAAGAGGAAAACTAGTTGTTGCAAAAATAATACAACAAAATTAGGGAAGCTAGGAAAGAGAAAGACAAGTAATTTCTTAGCAAGCTCGAGCAAAATAAAACCAGCAGTGAAGTGTGAAGCCTGAGTCACTCAGTCGTGTCAGACTCTGCAACCCCATGGACTGTGGCCCACCAGGCTCCTCGGCCCATGGAAATCTCTGGGCAGGAATACTGGAGTGGGTTGCCATTCCCTTCTCCAGGGGTTCTTCCCGAAACAGGGATCAAACTCAGGTCTCCTGCACTGCAAGCACATCCTTTACCATCTGAGCTACCAACAGCAGAAAGCCAAAAACAACTTGATTTATCACTCATCTTTGAAAGTGAGGATAAAGACAGGCTGAAATGTGGAGGACTGAGCCATCAGACAGCCCAAAGCCCTGCCCTAATGTACAGATCAGGAGAACTACCCCTCCCCTCACCTTGGGTAATACTGAAGATTTTCTTTGAAAGGGGCAAACCAAAAAGTTTTCAGGACAGGTTATTTGAAGGCTAGGATTCAGTACTGGAAAGAAGGGGCATTAAATGAATACATGACAACTCCAGACTTCTTCCCCTATTTAAAATGCAGTCAAATCTCCAAGCTCAAGCAGATAAATTTTATCTACAGAATATAATCTTTCCAAGAGGAAGGAGCCAAATAACTGACACCATGGGTTCTCCAACACAAAAATCAAGTCAGATCACCTGACACTGACATGCACAGCAGAAGAGTCCTGCTCAAAAATTCAAGTTGGCTTTTTGGCCCCTTAGGTAACAAAGAATTCTCAGATACCTGAAGTAATCCTCTAACACAGAAGACAGAAACCAAAGAAAACAAAATTAAAAAGGCAGGCTGGAGGAAAGACACTATGTAGGGAAACATTTCAAAAGAACTGTTATTATCCTTAGAGACAAAACAGTGCAACCCTGAAACAAAACCAGGACATTTTACTTTTATTTAAAAGAGATATCCAAAATAAGGAAGAAAGAGAGATTCAGAGGAGGGGAAAAAAAAACACAGAAATTAAAAACATTATAACAGGAAAAACAAATTAAATTCAAAGTCTTTTAACTCCATTCAGCTGCTATAACCAAAATACCATATACTGGGTAACCTATGAACAACAAATTTTATTTCTCACTGTTCTCGACCCTGGGAAGTTCAAAATCAGGGAACCAGCAGACTCAGTGTCTGGTAAGGACCTACTTCCTAGATGGCCTTCTTTTTAACCTCACATGGTGAAGTGAAGGCTAAGGAGAACAGGAAAGATATACCCATTTGAATGCAGAGTTCCAAAGAATAGCACACAGAGATAAGAAAGCCTTCCTCAGTGATCAA